ATGATGATGGTGATGATGATGATAATGATGATAGTTTAATCAATCACATACCCCATTCAACATCTTCGAAAGCATTCCAAGTTTTTACAGAAAATCAAAAAGAAAAATCACACATCTCAAAGATATGAATTCGGTAATACCCGAGTCACGGCCGATGCAAATATATATGCATGAAGTTAAGTAACCATGGTATCGTTTTTTGACATTTTGTCTGGGATAGGGTATCATTTTAGTCTGGGATAGGATTAACGATTTGGTCATTTTTGTCTGGCGAATAGGCTACGCTTTCTGTCGGCACAAAAACAATGAAAATGTTAGTAAATATTGATTGCAATCGATTGTAAAACCGGATTTTCCGTCTTTTAGTCTGGGATAGGGTGTATAATTCTTAGTTTTAGTCTGGGGTAGGGTATGTAAAATCAAAATTTAAGTTCTGGGATAGGGTCAGGGTTTTGAGGTCCTGGCGGCACACCCCTACCCAAGTTGGGGTGGTAGTACCCCCCTGGGACTGCTTCACTTTTCGGTGCCCAATAACCAAAATAGGAATATGAGGGTAACATGGTCATATGACGTCACATTTGGGTATCCTATGATCAAGATAGGGCTATTCTCTACTTTCACATCCCCATAATACTTTGCGTCTTTGGGGGGTAACCAGAGGGTAAAAACCCACTTATTTTTCTGAAGGCTGATTGGACAATGTTGACAATACCTTGTTTGGTATCAATAGATAAAATGAAGAAAAAAACCAAAACCAGAAAAAGATAGAAGCTTGAAGACGTTTAAGGTAAATTAAAAGAAAAATTTTCGTAAGTCAATACATTTTCTGTAAGACCAAAACTCTTCATGATCTGTACACGCAAAAATAACATGGAATAAACTGATAATCAGTATTGTACAGATAAAAGCAGGTATAGTATAAATTCAATTAAGAAACCTTTCAATTTGGGACAGTTTTTTGATTGGTTACCCCCCAAAGATGCAAAGCATTATGGGGATGTGAAAGTCGAGAATTCCTATATAGGGACGTTACATTCATTAACATATTGGAAGTATAATTCTTCATAACTTAAGAATGCATCACTCAAATCAAGAAATATTGTACGTTCAACTGTATACTTCATGTAGAATCAGTCCCGAAAGTAATTATGGAGAAGTCACGTGCACTTTTAAGATACCATAATTTCTAGAAGGCCTAGCCTCACTTCTGAGGTTGGAAAACAAAAGCATAAATAGACCTCTTCAGCTTGGGGTAATGTTTTCCCATTTCAGACCACGTGTCATTCTCTTGAGAATAAGATTCTTTGTTTGAGCTGTATCCATATTCATGTGTCTTCTCATGTGTAACCAAACGCAAACCTTAAACAAAGAAATGATACTCTAGGGAATGACATGTGGTCTGAAATGGGAAAACATTACATCAGAGCCGAAGAGGTCTATTACAATAATAAAACAAACAACTCCTGGATCAGAGGCTAAGCCCACACATTCTAGAAATTATGGTATTTTCATATTTTTATTAAGAGAAACTAATCAGTTACCCCTAGTTTGTGGCATTTAGCTTGGATTTCTATGTTAGCCTTGCATAGCATTGCTTTCAAAACGATTGTTAACAGAAGAAAAGAACAACTCTGAATTAATGAAAACATTTTATTCTCAAGGAACAGCAGTACAGATAAAGTTAGAGTGAGGTCCATGAAATATATCAGGTGGATAAGGAATATTAGCATATACCAACTTGTGTACTTCCTAAGAACGTGCGAGCTCATTGGTTAATTGGAGGTTAATATTGTATGACATCCACCTCTGAATCTCGAAATATTGAGTCGGCAACAAAATGGCATTTCTGATGAGAAAATTCCTATCAATAATAAAAAGGCAATGAAGTAAGGCCTAAAAGGTTTGCTAAACGTTTTGCTGAAAGTTTTGCGTGAATTTGTCAACGCAAACTAAGTTTCTGTTTGTTTGTTTTTATTGAATTATTGTATATGAAAATAAGTTACTCTGTACACAAGTTGGTATATGCTAAAACAATTATTCGCCTCAGGCTCAGTGAATATGGAGAATATTTACCTCGCAGCTCAAAGACCCGCGTCTCGGTAAATATTCCCCGATATTCACTTCACCTTCGGCGAATAATTACTAAGTGGACGATGTTGTTTTACTTCGCACCCTGGGGAGGGGTAAGAAGGCCTCCTACTTTACTGGCTGCTCTTGATGGAGCAAAACCCAACATCTTTTGTACATTCTGAAAAACAATGACAATAATGCAAACATTAAAAAATACATTTTTGAAAAAACATGCATACTTATTGCCGATAGCCGTAGTTTCTTCCTGAATCTGTGTATGTCTTCGACCCTACCCAACCCTTGGAAATTCCAACCCCCCTCCATGGGTGAGGTGTGGATATTTTCTGGAACTATGCAATATAACCGCCTCAGAACCTCACCACCCCTGGGAAATTCCAACCCCCCTCCATGGGGGAGGTATGGTCACAAAATATACCCTCCCTATATCAGTTCTAAAGAAGAAGGGGGCAGCATGGATGGAAAATTATCCAGATAATAGAATGAATACTCACATTTCTGACTGACATGGTACACAGAATGTAAAGAAATATAAAAGAACAGTCAGTGAAGTCATCACCCATCAAGTTACGATGAGAGATTCCTTGAATCCACGAATGAGGCTCAAAAGGTAATTTTGCAACCACACGTCCATCAAAACTAAAAGAAAATAACAAATATATCTATGAAAGGGGTACTTGGATGAAAACCTTTCAAAATATAAAAACTTTAGGGAATGAAGGATTTTGTATTTGGGGAGGGGAGGGTTATCAGTAGAAACTTGAACTTTGGTGGAGGGTTAAACCAATAGACCCCTTGCATGTGATGTCAAAACAGCTTGATCTGTGGGACAAAGCAAGAGAATTCCAATCTCCTGAAAATTGGAACCTATTGTTCATGTCCCACAGATTGAGCTACAATCCAAAGTGTTGCAAGGGGTCCATAGTTGAATTGCCATGCAATGTATATTTTTCTTCTCCCACGACAGTATTGATATTTTGTTTACCCTGTCCCCCACCCCCCTAGGTCCCAAGGCTTAAAATAACAGCCGGCCATCGGAAAACGTCTGACTAGAGTTGGAGCTTGTTTGGTCTTTGCTTTACTGGTCATTTTGACCTGTAATATTAGGACAAAAACAAGGCATGAATGAGCTAAAACTAGTTTGACTGTTCATTATGACTGGTAAATAACYGGCCTAACTGACCAGCCATTATTTTCCTCCCTGTGCCCCTCTCCCCACATGTGCAAGCCAAAGAAAAATGAGGGAGAAAGCCATGGATTGTCAACCCAACTTGAAAGACTAGTATCTACTTACATGGAATTGAACATGCCGATTAAAGCAGTAAATGTAAATCCAATTGCAAAGATGGATTTCATCTTGACCTGGATATGAAATATAAATATGGGATGTTGTTCATTATGAATACATTAATTTGAATTGATGGATGCATGGATGGGAAGAAATAATGGGAGGGTCGATGGATAGATGGATGATTGGAATTTGAATGGATGGATAGATGACAAAGAAATGGATGGATGGATAGATGGATGGATGGATGGATGGAAGGATGGGTGAATGGATGGATGGAAGGATGGGTGAATGGATGGATGGAAGGATGGGTGAATGGATGGATGGAAGGATGGGTGAATGGATGGATGGGTGGGTGGTTGGATGGGTGGATGGATAGATTGATGGGTTGATGGATGGATGGATGGATAGATCGATGGGTTGATTGATGGATGGATGGTTGGATGGATGGGTGGATGGATGGGTGGATGGATGGGTGGATGGATGGATTTGTGGATGGATGGATGGATGGGTGGATGGATGGATGGGTGGGTGGATAGATCGATGGATGGAATAGTACAACAGTGATTATAAAACTGAAGGAAAAATACCATACCATTGATAAGTCTCTGCTGTGGTTCTTTAATTTTTCTTCAACTCTTTCTACAAAAAAATATATCACAAGATTAAGAAGATAAATCAAAATAGATTTTTTCTCCTTCTTCAAGGAAGCTGATCTGAAAATGACAATTGTTGGTACCAGAATACTAAAGAAACTTTTAACACCTCAACAACAGACATTTAAAATGAAGTTTGCTTCTTCAAGTGACTCTCTCTTGTGTCACTCACACAAATTTTCTTTAGAAAAGGTTAGCTGCTAAATTGAGGGGTAAATTATAATACCTAGTGTGGCATGTATGGTGAGATATGAAAAGGGTGGTTTACTGGTATAACTAAGCATAAACATACCAAGTTTCTTCTTTTGACCGCCTTGACGTGGGGCATCTGTCATATTCTCTTTCCGTCTTTCTACTATGAAAGGAACAAAAATAAAATTGAAAAAAAATCTTTATTACAGCAGAGTATACAATTGAGGGTATGAGTGTGTTCATGGAGTTATTAGAGGGACTACAATTGATTTTTAGGTCAATTAGGTCTATTATTTCCTTCCTAAAACCCAGCCCAGTGGTTGTTTCAGGGTTCAATCTGTGAGTTAGCCAAGCCCTGACTTAGATCAGCCCAGAGGTTGTTTCAGGGTTAGATCTGTGAGTTAGCAATGCAGTGACTTAGCTCAGCCCAGAGGTTGTTTCAGGGTTAAATCTGTGAGTTAGCCGTTCCCTGACATAGATCAGCCCAGAGGTTGTTTCAGGGTATCATCTTATCAAATTGATTAGCTTATGGTAGTATCCCAGTAATCCTACTAAAACTGCTCTACATAAAAACTTACATTTTTTACTATCCTTTTCCACTTCTGCTTTCAATTTCTTGTACTTCTCTGTTTTGTACACCAAAAGGTATGTAATTCCTTCAAGGAATAGCAATGAATTGAAATACAATTAGCAACAAAACAGGTTGGTCAAACATAAATTCCCTTGAGAATAATTCCCCATAAAATAGTGACACGACATCCCCCTTCTTTGGGTAGCATTAAAAATTCAATTACATTTACAGTTTTAAAATCTTCGTTACTTCTTTTAAAATCTTCGAAATCTTCGTGACTTAGCTAACATTTATAGTTCAGTATTGAAAAGATCTTTAAAAAGTAAAAATTCTTTTAAAAACTTCCCAAAAAAATACGAAAAATGTCCAAAACATTTGAAGCTAAAAATTGTCCAATTTTCTTTGATCTAAAATTCTTCGTAAAAATAAATAAGAATATACCCAAATTGTAGCCAAAACTTACCTTCAGAAAGCGAAGCAGTAGCTAAAGAAATTATAAAGATAAGAATCGTGTCTGCGATCATTTTTGAGAGGAAAAAAACGGTAGAAATTTAAGTGAAGGAAAACAAAAATGGCGTCCAAAGAATTTTTTGTTTGATGTGAATCCCCAATGATTTGGGTCAGATGATATGCTATTTACGCATGTGCGAGGTCTTCTAATTTTCGCGCCAAATTCACTCACATGTTGAAGTGCCGAAATCAAATTATCCTCAGCATTTCTTCCAAATTCTAAACAAAAAGAACAGTTATTTTAGACATGCCTTGCATAGAAGATTGGGTCAGTCATCCTCTAAGTGTGGTCGACGGGATCGGACAAGAAAGTGGATCGAATACGAAGCATAAAGTTCAAGAATTTTTTGCTGATCGAGTCAAAGATGGCAGCCATCGTATTCCCTCGATCAATGACATCCCAATCGAGAAGCTGAGGCCAAATAGTCTTGTAAAGTTTCGTTGTATGGTTCAAGATATGTTTGGGCCAGAGTACTTTCTTTCTGAGTACGAAATTGTGTCAAAAACCAGAGGAGAGACAAAGATGAGGTCGGGAATGTACCGTGATATGGCAGACTGTCCTCAAGGTCATGAGGCTAATTTTGAATCAGCAAGAAATGTGACAGCTGAGAAGCATTCGTACTTCTGTGTGCCTATACCTGGTGAGACGGAATGGGCCAAAGAAGGTTTTGCTAGGAAGTCTGCTAACCATGGAACGAAGGCGCCTCAAACAGGCCAGTCTAACAAGAGATCCTTGGAAGAGGACGAGGACATGGAGCAAGAACAAGGTAGGGAGAAAAATATAGGAAAAGAAAGAGGAATCTAAGGGAAGCTTTTTTATTGGGACAATATTAAGACAATAAGAAAACAGATTTTGTCAAAATAAAGTTTGACCCTTTAAAAAAGTTAAGATTTTTACTGATGACTCCCTCTTAAGAAGTATTTTCCTTGTTGTTACTGTTATTGTTGCTACTGTTGCTGTTGTTCATGCTGTTTTGGTAACATTCACAGGGCTGTCAACCCCCGAGATATTCAAATCTGGAGAATTGATAGGGAAGGGACATGACGTCACAGCACGTCAAAAAGTGCACAAAAAGACATCTTTCGCTTTGTAACATTTGATGTGATTGGTTTATTTCTGACCAATCAGATTATCGCTTTTATTACAATGGCCTGCTTGCAAGAACAGTTAATGAGGAACATTTTGATTTTGTTAGCAATTTAAAATAACACAAACAAAACAAAATAATCGGAATGTTATGGTTGTGAAAGTCAAGTCTCACAAGAAATGGTCAGCTTCGGGGATTATCCGGGAGATTTGAGACTCTAATCTGGAGACCGGGAGATACGGTCCAAAATCTGGAGACTCCCAGTTTATCCGGGAGAGTTGACAGCCCTGCATTCATGCAATGACAATATCAGAATAAGGTCTACTTCACCTTGACAAATTATAAAATTAGTAGACTTTTATTGGTTTAAATTTCATAAATTCAACCAGCTTGTTTTTAATCATTTTTTACGATGCCAGTAATTTTTATACCTACCTGAAATGGAGGGGATATTGACTGAACCACGACCAGACTCTACTGTACCATAATATATATTTATGATAATATTAATATGCATTTATGATAATATGACAGGTGATGGTGTTTTGGAAGAAGGTATTGAAACCAGTCAAGGTGATGCTCAAAATAAAAAGTCAAAAGTCGCTAATGAAATTGCACAAGAAAGTTCTTCATCAGCCATGGTTACGTCACTCAACCATCCCATCCCTGGAGAAAATGGACCCTCCTGCATTGTACATGTCTACGATAAATGTGAAGACATCAAACTGAATGATATGGTAGAGTTTATTGGCATTGTCTCCATCCAGCCACATTTTGCAACTTTTACAGAGGAGAAGTCTGAGGAATCTAGCCCAATGGTTCTGACAGCTGACAGCTTCATGAGTGAGGAAGAGCACGCTGCACATTATCCACCAACATCTCTTGTTCCGCGACTCCACTGTGTCTTCTACCAGCATCTAAAACACTCCAACCCTAGCATTCCATTGGATGCTGATGAGAAGACCTCAGATTCTCTTCTTCCTCAAGTTGCCAGAGCTCGTGGTGACTTATTATTCATGCTTAAGAGCCTTCTCCTTGGAGATGAATTGGCTGCAGAGTACTTACTCTTACACTTAGTGTCGTCAGTCTATACTCGTTGTGGTATAATGGCAGTTGGTAAGTTTAGTCTTAACCTCTGTGGCTGCCCAATGGAGCCTTCGTTTACTAAAAGAATTAGTGATACCTTGAAGCAAGTCCTCCCAAAGTGTGTCAATATGCAGATGACTTTGAACAACATGAACACATTGAACTTTGTTCCAAAGAAAGATTATAAAGCCAACAGATTGATATCTGGGATCCTTCAGTTGTCGGACAGTACTCAACTAATCCTGGATGAAACAGCTCTGGAAGCAGGTCAGCTTAATACTAATGGAGTCCAGAATGTCACTGCTCTAGGAAGCCTAATATCTTGGCAAAAGCTTGAATATGATTTTGACTTTTACAAAACTGATTTCAAGTCAAACATCCAGGTTCTTGTGCTGTCAGAAGGAAAGTCAATGCTGCCGTGTGATTGTCATATCAAGATTGAAACTTCATCTTCTCAACAAGAAAGCCCAGTCAACATGTCAGAGGATTTACTCAACATGTTTCGCACTTATATTGGTTTAGTGAGGTTGTCTAGCTACTCTATAACCCCTGCTATGCAGAAAGCTCTCCAGGAAGATTTTGTTCAGGCTCGGCAAAGAAACCCCTCAACGATGACAGCTGATGATTTTCACAGGCATCTTCTAGTGGCAAGGTTGATGGCTGTCAGTTCTGGCAGTTCAACACTGACCCAAGAGTTATGGGAGAAGGTGAAGAAGTTGGAGGAACTGAGGAAAACAAGACTTCGACTCTCTTCAAATTCTGCTTAGTCTATCGTCAAAAAACACAGTTCAAGAGATTCAGAAACCTTAAGGAATCGATTAGGGCAAGTATTTAATGGTGATAATCTTACCTCTTGTATAGAAGAACAGGCAGCAGAGAGAGTTGAGAACTCATTTAAGTTGAACAAGGCAATTCTTTCTTCATACCCATTTCCCTGGTCATTTTATAAAAATTCCATTCCAAACCTTGAGAAGCCTTACACGTTAAAAAGAGGACTATTTTCTCAAGTTATTAAAGCAAAGCATGACCAGTTTAAATATGTATTACATGATTTTGACTTGCACTGTTAAGATTTTTGGAGAGGGAAGCCTATACCTATATGTATAGAGTAGACTGTTATATTACACATTAGGGTTGATATCCATAAAAAATCCGTGAATAAAAACCATATCAGTGAAGTGATACGATATCACTTCACAGTAAACTGGAAACAGTTCCAGAAAATATCTATAATCCACCATGGAGGAAATTCATTAAAGAACCCCCCTACCCCCCGGAACTTCCAATTTTCTTTCATACAAACTCTGTAATTTTGTTCATTCTCTGACCCCTCTCCCCTCCATAATTTCCAATTTCCTCCATGGGTGGGGTATGAATATTTTCTGGAACTACGCAATAAGCAAATTATTGTTCAAGCTCTTAACATGTGGCAATCTCTATTTATCAAAGACTTAGTCAGCAATATTACAGTATAGAAGACGAAACTGATAAAGATTTATTATTCAGTAAAAAAAGGGCAGTTGATTTGTAAATACTTGTAGTTTATCCCAAGTAGTGGTCAGACCTGTTGTGTGTAAAGAAATCATGTATGAGTAAAAAATGTTTTACTGGTATATTTTTTTCCCGGTGCAGTTTGAATTTGAAGGTTTTTAGTGTTACTTTGATGCAAAAACAATTCTTTGTAAATGCTCTTTTTGTTGTGGAAAATAAGTGTTATCATTAAGTATTCTATCTTCATAACCATTATCTTAAGTGCTATTATCATAAACATCGCCATCAGTACCATTTCGTCACCATCGTCATCCATACAATTACCATCACCATCGTCATCAGTACCATTATCATCATCAACTTCGATGTTATCATCGGCAACTTTGTTACTATCACCACCATTATCATCATCTGTCATCAACATAATCTATCTAATCATCATCATCACATCTCCCTGGTTATCATGTTCCCAAACATATGACAAAAATATTACAAACGTTTAAGTTTTTAAATTATATTTTAGTTTAAAAACAAAATAAAATTAACAAGACAATAATTTGTTTAAAAAATTAAACAAATATTTAAATAAATTTCGTACAAAAATAAATCTAATCGTGATGGCCTGTGGGTCATGCACGGTCACTAATTTTTATGATGAAAAAATTAAAATAAAGTATTAGTAGGAAAAAAAATTATCAAAAATTAACCAAGTCATCTAAAAGAAGATTATTCGGTACCTTTTGATACATGGAACTTTTGGTATATAGACTAAAGTCCTTATTGGTTTAAATTGTTGAAGTATTGAAATGAAATGAAAAAATATATTTAAAATTCTATTAAAGTGCTACTACGACGAAAATTGCTCAAACTTGGATTCAGCTGAAACTTCCTAAGAATACTCTTTAAAGGTCCAATAATCACTGTATG